ATAATAGATGATTTTTTAAATGATGATGAAATCAGCTCTGACCTATTGTCATGTTTAATCCCAGTGAGAGTCAAGTTGGGAATTGATAATTTCTTTTTTTTTTTTTTACAGAAGATCAGTTTAGTATACATTAAGTAAAGATTTCAACAGTTTGCACCCCCATAGAAACACAAAGCGAAATATACTGTTTGAGTACTCGTTATAGCATTAAATCTCAATGTACAGCACACTCAGGAAAAAGATCCTACATGAGGAGTAAGTGCACAGTCATCCTTATTGTTTAATCAATTCAATTCTCTCCCATATTAGAAAATATGATTGCCTGAGTTCTGAGGCTTCAGCAACCAATGGTACAATGCTACTGGTGGCATGATCTCACAGAGAGGGATTATTCCAACACGATAAAGTTGACTATGCACTTCTAGTGGGATACATCCTAAGACTAAAAAGAATTGCCAGAAATATCTTAAGAACAGCTTTTCATTGTTTTATTAGTATTGTTATTTTAAGGCTGCATTATGGCGTGAGGTAACTGTACCAAATATAGGTGACATTAGAGGGCGGTGATTTTAACACAGGATAAAAGAGAAACAGGTGTAAGGAAGCATCAGGTAAAAATCTCAAGCACTTAAATTAAATAGGAAATATCAGTAAGAGATTATGCTGTAATTTATATATTTTTCTGACAGGCAGAGTTAGATAGTGAGAGAGGGAGACAGAGAAAGTTCTTCCTTCCATTGGTTCACCCCCCCAAAATGGCCTCTACAGCCGGCGCACTGTGCTGATCTGTAGCCAGGAGCCAGGTGCTTCCTCCTGGTCTCCCATGCAGGTGCAGGGCCCAAGGACTTGGGCCATCCTCCACTGCACTCCCGGGCCACAGCAGAGAGCTGGCCTGGAAGATGAGCAACTGGGACAGAATCCGGCGCCCCAACCGGGACTAGAACCCGGAGTGCCGGCGTCACAGGCAGAGAATCAACCTAGTGAGCTGCGGCGCAGGCCACTGTAATTTATCTTAAAATATATATTTTGAGGGACATCATACTGGTGCTGCAGGTTAAGCCACCTTTTGCAATACCTGATTCCCATTTCAGAGTGCCAGTGCAAGTCCTGGCTGCTCTGCTTCCAATCCAGCTTCCTGCTAACATCCTTGGGAAGGCACTAGATGCTAGAAAAAGTATTTGGGTCCTTGCCATCCATGTTGGAGACTCAGATAGAGTGCCTGGTTCCTGGCTTTAGCTTGGCATCGCCCTGACAGTTGTAGCCATTTGGGTAGTGAACCAGTGGATGGAAGGTCTCTCTCTTTCTTTACATACAAATAGATCTATTTTTACAAGATGTATTTATTTTTTAAAGGTTTTATTCATTTGAGAGATAGAGTTACAAACAGAGAGAAGGAAGGGCATAGAGAAAGGTCTTCAATCTGCTGGTTCACGCCCCAAATGGCTGCAAAGGCCAGAAACTGGGCCCATCCAAAGCCAGGAGCCAGGGGCTTCCTCTGGGTCTCCCACATGGATGCAGGGGCTGAAGCCCTTGGGCAATCATCTATTGCTTTCCCAGGCCCTAGCAGAGAGCTGGATCGGAAATGGAGCAGCCAGGACATTAACCAACACCCATATGGGATACTGGCGCCATATGTGATGTAGTCAACTACACCACAACACCAGCATCCTTATTTATTATTTATTTGAAAGGCAAAGTTATGGGGTGGGGGAGAGGAGGGAGAAGGGAGAGAGAGAGGGGAAGGGGAGAGACCCTCCATCTGCTGGTTCATTTCCCTAATGGCCCTACTACCTGAGTTGTGCCATGCCAAAGCCAGGAGCCCAGAGATTCCTCTGGGTTTCCCACATGTGTGGGTTCAAGTCCTGAGCCTAACTCCAATTCCAGCTTGCTACTAAGTTGCACCCTGGGGGGCAGCTGTGATGGCTTAAGTATTGAGCACCTGACACATGAGAGAGAGATCTAGATAGACTTCTAGGCTCCTGGCTTTGGCCTGGCCCATCCCCAGCTATTTCATGCATTTAAAGAACAAATCAGAAGGTAAAAGATCTCCCTACTACCACCCCTCTCACTTGCTTTCTCCCTGCCTTTTATATAAATAAAATTAAATAAAAATTTAAAGTAATAAAAATAGTTCATATACAGGGTTTTTTAAATTGTGAAAAATGCATTTAAAATTTAATTGTAGAACAATACTTACATAAGGTGGAAATGGTGTTCATTCTCATTTTCTGAGTCACTTGGGCATAAACCATTCTGGGAAAATGATTGTAAGAGATATTTCAAAATATAGCCCTACTTCCTTCATTTCTGATCTACCTATGTCAAGTTCAAGGCTTCACTCAGCTTTCTTGTCAGCGCGTTGACCCAGGGAGTTTATCAATACAGCACAGATAAAGTTTGGAGAAACATATGTGACTTATCCTTACCATTTGTTTTACTTTCAACCCAAGCATTAATAGTTCTCCTTGTTTCTTCTGTAGACTGTTCAAAGTCAACAGTCTGCAGCCTGGTTTGATACAATTTCTCAGAACAGGTTAGATATTGCTGTGAAAGAAAGGACAATTAATCAATAACAGAACAGTAGTGTAAGGAAAACAAAAACCTATAGCTCTAAAGCTCTAACATACAGACAAAAGTATCTCATATTTATAGCATGAAAGATGTGCAATCCACATGAGCTTGTTTTTAATAAAACAAAAATGTTAACAAAATCTAAAAAGATTGTTCAGAAATGTTTGCTTATTATTTCTATCATATCATTGGCTTCTTTTTTCTAGAATGTTCCAGGGGCCAGTGCTGTGGCAAAGTGGGTAAAGTCACTGCCTGCAGTACTGGCATCCCATATAGGTACCAGTTCGAGTCCCAGCTGCTTCACTTCCAATCCAGCTCTCTGCTATGGCCTGGGAAATCAGTAGAAGATAGGCCACGTCCTCAGGCCCCTGCACCCACATGGGAGACCTGGAAGAAACGGATAGGTGCAGCTCTAGGCTCTGCAGCCAATCAGGGAGTGAGCCTGCAGATGGAAGACCTCTCTCTCTCTCTCTCTCTCTCTCTGCCTCTCCTCTCTCTGTGTAACTCTTTCAAATAAATAAATAAATCTATTAAAAATAAAATAAAATAAAATGTTCCAAGCAAAATAAAACAAATTGAAGTATGGTGAGTATGGTTTCATCTATCTTTACTCTTTCCTTTTCAAAGCAGACAGATAACAATTTTTACTGTCATGCTATAGACAGAAAAATTTAGAGCCAGAGTGATTAAGTGGCTTGCTAGTTTGAAGTCTACCAGAAAGTCTCTCAATAAGCAACCTTAATAAAATGAATAATAACAACATTCGGGCCGGTGCCGTGGCACACTAGGCTAATCCTCCGCCTTGCGGCGCTGGCACACCTGGTTCTAGTCCCGGTCGGGGTGCTGGATTCTGTCCCGGTTGCCCCTCTTCCAGGCCAGCTCTCTGCTGTGGCCCTGGAGTGCAGTGGAGGATGCCCCAAGTGCTTGGGCCCTGCACCCCATGGGAGACCAGGAGAAGCACCTGGCTCTTGCCATCGGATCAGCGCAGTGCGCCGGCTGCGGCGGCCATTGGAGGGTGAACCAACGGCAAAGGAAGACCTTTCTCTCTGTCTCTCTCTCTCTCACTGTCCACTCTGCCTGTCAAATAATAATAATAATAACAATAATAACAACATTCTCTGATGTAGATAATTGACATTTTAAAAAGTTATATAAAGTGTGAACATATGCAGGACTTTGCCGTTTTTCTCACCTAAAACATATTACCCAAATGAAAGTAGTATATAAATTCCGTATATGGAATCTATAATTCTCTTTTAAAATCCCTTGCACGTAGCATTCTGGAGCCAGTATTAGTTATCAGCTATTGCCCTTGATTCCTAGAACTGGCAACTGCCAAGACAGCAGCCAAATCTACATGAACTCAACTAACCTGCCTTGATTCTGCTGTTGACAACGTGGGAGCAAACCTCCACAGGCCACCAGGACCGTGTCCCACCATAAACTGAACCAGATGATAAGAGACTTACATATATGGAAGTTGTGAAAGTGGCTGCCTGGGGTTTGGTTTTCCATTTGCCTAAATGGTTCTTTTGTGCCTAAATCCAATGTAGAAGGAAAGTGAGCTTAACTAAGAACTAAAAACAAGCCTTAGGATCATTCTTGTCCTAAGTTGGTTCCAATTGCCTCTGGAACACATCCTTTTGTGGCTCCCTAAAGCCCACAAGATAGGAGTTTTTCCAGCCACAATCCTGAGATAACAAGGTCTATCTATCTCATGACACAGGTTACAGCCATCACCATCATGCTAATGAGGAGCACCTCAGTTCAGGAACAGTTGCAATGACCATCATTCCAAATCAACATTTATTATGATTATGTCTGGGTCAGTGTTTGCAGAAGTAAGAGAGAGGGCTCCAACTTAAAGGACCATAATTGTCTACCGCTCCCACTTCAGGAACTCTCTATAAAATTTTCCCTACATTGCCCAGGACAACAAAATAAAATATCCCTGAGATGTTTGTAGAACCAAAGTGGGCTAGCCACTCCTAGGTCAGACCACCAGAATTTTATCAGACTAAGACACGGCATAGGCTATTGGGCTAGCGAAGAGCTTCTTCCTTTCTTTCTCAGCTGGCATTTAGGTTATAGTGGTTAAGAAAAAGCTGCACAGCTGGCCCTAGCATTTCAACCTCAGTCACAGCAGGATGATTTGGCAATTCAAAGCAAGAAGATGAATTTGGAGAGGGCTCACACCCAGGTGTTGCCATTTAATTTTATCTGTGAAACTTGATTTTTCTGCCTCATGATCTAGAATTAATGACAATACTGTACCTGTATCTCAGAATAATGTAAAGATAATACAAGATCATGCCTGCATTGTTGAGGCATTAGAAAATAGTACAGGGATTGGCAAATATTAAACATACAATAAAACTACATATTGCAATGCTGTTGGGATAGGATATAACTTGCATTTCAATTTTGGGGCTAGAATTTAGTTTAATCCTATCATTTTAAAGATAGAAGTGGAAGCAAGCAATTTAGTCCAGCAATTAAAAAGCTTGTGCTCCACATCCTTGTACCTGTATTCAATTCCTGCCTGAGGCTCCTGACTCAAGTTTCTCACTAATGCAGACCTGGGAGGCCATGGTGATGGCTCAGATAATTGACTTCCTGTCTGGATTGCGACTCTGGCTTTGATCCAGCCCAGTTCTACCTGTTGTGGCCATTCATGTAGAGAATCAGCAGATAGGAAATTCTCTCTCTGTCTCTCTCTCTCTCTCTCTCTCTCTCTGTCTCTCTCTTTCTCTCACTCTCTCTCAACCTCTCTGCCTCTGAAATAAAATTTCAAAATAATGTTTAAAAAGCTAAAAAGACAGGAGAAATGATCTTTCTAAAGTCATACATCTGAATGAGAGCAGACTTTAGGCCTCTTGGCTACCTGTCCAGAGCACTTTCAACTATGTCTTTTTTTTTTTTTTTTTTGACAGGCAAGTGGACAGTGAGAGAGAGAGACAGAGAGAAAGGTCTTCCTTTGCTGTTGGTTCACCCTCCAATGGCCGCCGCAGCCGGTGTGCTGCAGCCGGCGCACCGTGCTGATCCGATGGCAAGAGCCAGGTGCTTCTCCTGGTCTCCCATGGGGTGCAGGGCCCAAGGACTTGGGGCATCCTCCACTGCACTCCAGGGCCACAGCAGAGAGCTGGCCTGGAAGAGGGGCAACCGGGACAGAATCCAGCACCCCGACCGGGACTAGAACCAGGTGTGCCAGCGCCGCAAGGCGGAGGATTAGCCTATTGAGCCAAGGTGCCGGCCTCAACTATGTCTTGATGCTCTGCCACTAAGGACCTTGAAGAAGATATGGAAAATGTATTTAGTGAATCATTCTTACCTACTTTACTTTATGCTTCATCCCTAACCTTGATTCATGTCAGCTTTAGGGATTTTTGCAGAAATAGGATTTATGTAATATTTCACTACTTTAAATGAGAGTTTGGGTACAATCATTTCACTGAAACTCTAAGTTCAAATTGAGTCTCTTAAAGATAAATACATGACTCTCCTCACTCTTCATTCATTTAATGGTATGAAATTCACAGGGTGTTAAGAAAGCTGTTGACCACCATCTCAGATGGACTTACCTGATGGAATGCTATTTTTTTGGTCCCATAGAGTCTGTTTGCAATGCTGAGGGTATAGTTAGAGTCTAGTTGGTTGATTTGCGAGATTAGAACTCCAAAGTCTGAATGAATCCTTCCAGCTTGGCTGCACTAAAGACAGTAAACAAAGAATGGTGTATTAAGTTGCTTTATTTCTTGCCAGTGGAGAGTTATAAGCAATGTGAAAATAATACTAGAGAGCCTGAGAATAAAAGGTCAGTGGATATAAGAAGTTGAAGAGTTTAAAGCACTTTTCTCCTCTAGATTTCCTTTAGCACAAAAATCTCATAACTCTGTGACTGGCTGCCATCTGTGAGCAGAATTATAACTACTGCAAAAGTCCACATGGACTTGTTAACTCTAATGGTTTAATTCAAAGGCACTTTTCATGAATAAAGAAATTCCAGTGGATGATATTCAAGGCACTAATCCAAAGTTTTGTTTCTCCCTTTATTCTTATGGGATCATTTCTTTTCTCTATCACATGCTTTCCAGTGTCTGTTTTCTATATGGCAATTTAATCAAACACCTCAACCTTTCATTGTATTTACCTTACGCTCTGATCTGTCTCTCAGTGATAACAACTCCACTATACTTGCAGCTTTGATGCTTTTGAAAAACAGTAAGAATTCATGGACATTACAGGGGTTTGCCTAAATTCTCTAAAGCAGTTGTGATCCAACTATGGCCTTTGATCTCCTAAAATAAGTTGGGTTCTGTGAAGCAAGTATTCTGTGAATCTATATGCATTTATGTATTTTCTCTACCAATGACTGCCAAACACAGTGATTTTCACATAGGAGTTCTGTATTACTGTGTTGTCAAAAATCATACTCTTACTTGAAAAAACTAAGCACTAAATTCCCAAAGTGTATGGATTGGGCAACATCATCATAATTCAATTATATGGAAAAGCATCAGGGTGCATTCCAGGCCTTTCAGTGGGCTGAAAAAAAAATCCAACACTGCGTAGATGATGCTGGCAGAGCCTAAAGGGGCACAGTGCATAAAATACCAGAAAAGTGTCAGTAAGCATGACAATAAATCATGTAATAAAATCTGGAAATTTTATTATTTTTATTGTCATTATTATCATTGTTAAGCTCTCTGGGTTGCAGTGCTTATCAGAAGGATTAAAGGGGGAGCCCAGGGATGTCATCACTGGTTCTCTAATGGTCAAAAGAAGGGGCCCTGCTGCCCCATGCCTGGACTGTTATTTTCTGTGTTCTTATATGAAAGAGCACTTGACAACTCTGCAATGGTACTGCCATACCTCTGACGAGTCCTTAAACTCTGCCTTTGCTGATTCTTCATGATTAATGTGAAGCACCTAGAAGAGGAAAAAGGGATTGAGTGGCATCAAAGTCACTGTGCAGCCTATAAAAGGTTAACAGTTATAAATATTTATCTTTCCATATCACAGCAAGACCAATACACGCTAACCTTTGATATGGTTATGCTCCAAGTCCTGAATTAAGTCTTAACCATATCTTACTTAACCCTCCCAACAGTGTCATGAGTAGATTCTGTTAACCCCATTTTCTGTTAGGGAAATTGAGTTCAAGACAGATCAAGCAGCTTGACCCAGGCATTGTATCTCAGGCCCCAGGTACTGAGCTCACATAGCCCTCCTACCATCCTACCCCTCTCCTGCTGTTTCTAAGCCGTTTTCCAGGGCAGTGCCTATCAGAGGCTATCTCAGACACCACTTGGTTTCCAAGAACAGATGATAATAAGATATGCATGATTTCCAAGAACAGATGATAATAAGATAGCTTAGTAAACATACTAAGAGCCATTTTTTCTAGACTTCCACAGCATCATATAACATGTAATATAAAAAAGAAAATACTGATGTTATCCTGTGTAATCTCAGTCTACATTTTCTCATCTATAAAATGGGGTTAACAATTCCTACCCAGGACTATCATAAAGAAATGTAATAATGAGTGTCTTTTAAAATATAGTAACTTCTAAAATGCCACCAAGTTTTAGTATAAGTTTAAATGTCTAGAGGATAAGAATAAACTCATGCACATGTTCTCTGTCACATTTAAATCATTGAAGAAAGAACTCTAAAACTGCATAGATGTATTTGTGGTACCACTAATAGTAGAGAAGAGACCATTATTTTCATTGCATTACATTATTTAAGCCACATTCTTTTTTTAGAAAAATAAGTTGTCCAAATGTGTGTTTTTTTATTTCACAAGATAGAAAAAAATTTATATAAAAGCAGAAATAATAATTTGGCTGACCCAGAGGGGACTCCTGAAAGACTCCCAGGATCTAGGAAAATCTCCACTGCATTCCATACCTTTTTGATTTGCTCTGCACTGTTTCCTCTGGCACCAAGAAGGATCATATGTAGAGCATAAAGCAGACTCAACGGGGAAAAGAAGATGTTATCTCCTGCATTGTTACTGTTCAGTTCTTTGAACACATCAAGGCAAAATTCAACATTTGCTGTGCTCAGGGAACTCATTTTTATGTTAGGCCCTGCTTGAGAACAGAAAGAGGGGAAATATCAGAACATTTCTTGAAAGAACAGGTAATAGGTACAGTTCAGTTATTACATTTCATGAATTTCGTTGTCTGAACAAAGTTCTTCATGAAAAATTGCCTATGTACCATTACCACATTTTCTAACAAATTAGTAAATGCTAGAAGGCAGAATTCACAATAGCTTCACAATCTATGGAATGGAAGACTTACTGTTCATTCAACCAACAGTTCAAAGTTACCTCACTATCAATTGTGTACATTTAAGAACTATCTGTAATTGTTCTTCAGCAAAAGCACAGAAGGAATTGGATCTTTGTGCTCCTAATTTTATGCTTTAAGATTCTCTTTATTCTGGAATGTGTTCCGCAAAAGAGTTCTGCACAGAAAAATTTTTGAGCTCTAAAACCTCAGCCAAATGAAATATTTTTCCACTTGACTGCCCACCTTGGCAACCCCACAGGAGAACTACTTCATACTGGCCATTCTTGCACAGACAAATAGCATTTCTAAAAACAAACTCAGGCAAAATTCTCTCCAAGTTTTTATCTCCTTGATGTTATACCCACCCAAAAGTAAGGCAACCTAACAAGTATATCATGCCATAAGAAGGTGGTCCAATTCCTCTATCCTGAGGTATAGTCATCATGTCACTCAAAGTCGAGGAATGGAAGAGGCAAATCTCAGAGAAGAAAAGATGATGCTGGAATGTGTGAATGTGTGTTATCTTTCAGCAAAAAGCATGTCAGTTTCTCAAACATTTATTGAACACTGCTAATTGTAGGGGGCTACAGTTATAAAATGATCAAGACTAGTTCCTGTCCTTGGTAGGGAGGGTTGTGAGTTCAATCTTCAGGACCCTCACTATCACCAAGCATTTCTTTCATTTAACTTCATGTCACCATTTTCCGTTGGTTCACCATGTATATCCTTGACCACTCTTTCTCTGTCTATTTTGCAAGGATTTTTCCCCATTTCCAAACTCCATATATCATACATCAGGATTCAGAGCTCAGACCTCTTCTCTGTATATGAACATATTCCAGGTGATCTGTCCAACCATATGCTTTAAATGTCACTTATGTGCATCAAATTCTTGAATGCTTGCTGAACCTGAATTCAAGACTGATATATCCAACTACTTACCCAACATTTCTACCTGAATGTATAACAAGTATCTCAAACCTAACATGTACAAAACCTCTTAACTTCCTAACACCGTTCTCCAGCCTATTCCCAAACAGACACCTTCACCTTTGTAATGGCCATCCCATTCTTCCATTTTGTTAGGCTAAACACTTTGGGATCATCCTTAAATAATTTCTCATTTTCATTCATATTCAATCTATCAAAAAAATCTTCTTTCCCATATCTTCAAAATCATTCACTGTCTGCCCATTTCTCTCTGTTTCTGATTTTACCACTTTGGTCAAACTATCATCTCCCCACTCCTGGATCATGGAAATAATCTCCTCACTCATATTCCTAGTATTTTCCTCCTTAATAATCTCTACAAAAGCTGGAGCAATATTTTTATATACAAGTTACTTAAATTATTTACTGCTCTGCTCAAAAACTCCAAGGGTTTCTTGTTCTCTCTGAGAAGAAACTGAAGTCTTTACCATAACCCACAAGGCCCTCTATGATCTGTCCCCGGCTACCTCTCAGACCACATCTCCTATCATAGTCCCACTAGGTCATTCTGCTTTAGCCATATCACCTTTTCATTACTTCAACATGGCACATCTCAGGGTTTCTGTACTTCCTATTTCTCTTTTGAAATGCTTTCCCAATATGTTCAACTGGCTCACTACAGCCATTCATTCATCTCTATTCAGATAACATCTCATCAACAAGGCTTTCTCTGACAATTCTATTTGAAATATCAGCACACATCTCTCCATTCCATTACCCTACTTTACTTCTTCATAACACACATCACTACCTACCTCATTATACATGTGTTTATTGCCTGATGGCCTTGTTTCTACATCCTCCATTAGAGGAAAGACTTTGTCTTGTCTAGACCAGCCCTGGCCATATCCTAGCCACTCAAGAAACCTCTGTGAAAGGAAAAAAATGAAGGGAGGGAATTTCAGTCCAGTTAAATGCAACAATTGGCCAATGTGGACAGAATAGTGTGAAAGCACAGAGAGTCACAGAGCCAACCAGAGAATTATGTCCCTTCTGCTTTTTTTTTTTTTTTTTTTTGGACAGGCAGAGTGGACAGTGAGAGAGAGAGAGAGAGAGAGAGAGAGAAAGGTCTTCCTTTGCCATTGGTTCACCCTCCAATGGCCGCCGCAGCCGGCGCACTGCAGCCGGCGCACCGCGCTGATCCAATGGCAGGAGCCAGGTGCTTATCCTGGTCTCCCATGTGGGTGCAGGGCCCAAGGACTTGGGGCATCTTCCACTGCACTCCCGGGCCACAGCAGAGAGTTGGCCTGGAAGAGGGGCAACCGGGACAGAATCCAGCGCCCCGACCGGGACTAGAACGCCGGCGCCGCAAGGCGGAGGATTAGCCTATTGAGCCTGGCGCTGGCCCCTTCTTCTTCTTAAAGAAGGAAGTAAGAGTCATCAGATGTATACATGTAGGAATATAATTCTAGACAGGAAGAAAAACATTAGCAGAGACTCCAACACCTGAAAGAGAAATTTTGTATTTCAAGAACATGAAATAAGAAGCCAAAGTTGTGGGCAGTGGGGTGGAGACAGGCAGGATTGCATCCTTGGAAGCTTTGCAAGTACTGCTAGTACCACTGAGAAATCAGAGCCAACTCTGGATAGTTCATGGTGGAATGTGTCTCTACGTCACCTAGTCAGGAGATTTTATCATCTCTAGGATATTTGTATACTCTCCCTCTCCCCTCTCTCCCCTCTCTCCCCTCTCTCCCATCTCTCCCCTCTCTCCCCTCTCTGCGTTCTCTCCCCTCTCTCCCTTCTCTCCCCTCTCCCCCCCTCTCTCCATTCTCTCCCCTCTCTCTCCCCTCTCTCCCCTCTCTCTTCTCTCTCCCTTCTCTCCCTTCTCTCCCCTCTCCACCCCACCCTCTCTCTCCCTATCTTTCTCCCTCCATTCTCCCTGTCACCTCCCTCTCCTCAGTGGCCTCCCTCCATCACACTTTCAGATTGCTCTGGAGGCTATCACTGGAATTATTCAGCACTCTATTGACCACGTCTTTCCTTTTTCCAGATCCTTCAAATTCTCCCCAGACAGCATATTTTTTTAAATATTTTCTCCTCCCTACTTCTGTGCTTAAAGAATCTGCCTTAATGTAGCTTTCATGGAGCCACAGGCTTCAAAGAATTCTTCACCTATTCCAGCCCCTAGGAACAAGCCTTGGCCGGTCTACCCATCAATGAGATTCTGTATCTCCTACCTGAAAGACAGGAGGGAGTTTAATGAAAGCTTCTGGACAAAGCCTCCCCATGACGAGGAGAGACGCTCAGGAGGAAACAAGCCCTCTTCCTTCTCTTAGAGTGTACAATCTGTACGTGACTGCTGTTGCAGAGCTGTTTTGCGACCATAAGGTACCCAAACCAAAAGGATAAGCCAGGATGTCAAAGAGGAAAGATGGGAAGAATTTGGGTCTGTGATGACACCCAATTGAGAGGACAGATTACTCAACCCTGGATCTAGATTAACAAATCCCTAACTTGGGATTTCTTACCATGTGAGGTGATAATTTTCCTTCTTGTTTATTGAGTCTTCTTGCAGCTAAATGCATGCTAACTCATTTTAGTGACTTCCTTTTCCATCCTGTCTACTAAGGTCAATTAGCCCATTTACTGCACATTCACACTTTTCTGTCATAGCTGCACTTTTTCCTTTATTTAGTCCCTGAGAAATCTGAAAATATTTCATGCTTTTACCTCTGATCTTCCAGGATGAAGATTTTCTCTCTTTTAGAGTCCTATTCTAGGCCATTGTGCTCTGGAATTTTATGACTATGACATAATGTGTGTGTGTGTCTGTATGTGTGTGTCTCTGTGTGTGTATAATTGTTTCCAAAAAGAACATATGTCAGCTAAGCTCACTAAAGGTATGCTCTTCGGGTCTTGTTTGTTACAGTTGTAGGTATTTATGCCATACTTTTTAATGAAACGTAGTGCTGTATGTCCTTCTTGTCACAGAGACAAAGAGCACATCCCAAGAACTGGAGGACGTGGGAGAGAAGGTGGCACATTGGTTATCAGGCAGGCATGGATCAAAAAGAAGTGTGTCATTTGCAGACTTTCAAATACCAACCCATGGCATTTATATGGTAAAATCAATAGTCATGCACTCCTGCAATTGAAACCAGTTGTGATAAAATGCTCACTAGGGAGCTGATGCTGGGGATTCCATGGTTCAGACCACCCAGCAGAGTATAAAGGGCTCACACAGTTATCCCATACCAAACTTGGATTATACTTTTCTTTGCTCTTGATTTTTTTAAAAGATAGAACAGAGGACTTTACTCCTCTTTTTTCACTAAAATTCTATTATATGCCTTTAGCAAGATGCTATTTTTCAACTTAATTTTAATACAGCTCTCTGTAACATGTGTAATAACAGTGGTGACCTTGATAATCTTGCAGTTACATTAATAATGGAAACATACCCAATAATGAAGCACGTCCAAGCCAGGTGCTTGTCATGCAGCGTTCCACAGCCTAGTGAGCAGAATAGATTGGTGGAGTTAGATTCTGAAATGTAATTTCAAATATACAAGTAAATTTATTTTCTTAAATTTATGTTATATAATTATTATATAATGACCATTCCACAAATCATAGTTATTGCTGTCAGAGTTATTGGAACACAGAAGAAAATAGTTTGGAATATACTGATAGACCATTATTACCTGTGAGGTATTTTTATTAATCTTTTTGTTGTTATTTCTTCTTTTATAACCACGAGTGTAGAAGATTGGACTCATCACACTCCTCAGGACTTGGCCTTCCTTAGGTTACAAAGTCTGCTCTCTTCTTGGCTTATTTCTGGATCTAATTCATTCCCTTCCCCTCTGCTCCAGTAGGAGACATTTATAATATATTTAAAGCCTATCATTTGGTTTACATGTATATTTTCAAAATATTGATTTCCTTTTTATGCACTTTTTAATTTTCACAAATGAGCTTCTTCTAAATGGACTTTCATATACTTCTATATTTCACTTCTTTCTGCATTTTTAAGATCTATGCATTTTACTCTGGAAACATAATCCATTACTTCCAACTGCTGCATTCTGGTTCTTCCACTGTAGTCTTGTCCAACCATTCCCCATAAACAGAAAAATATGTTCTCTCACTTCACAACCACCACACCAGTACTGGGACAAGCATCCTCACACACCTCTGTTTACACACCTGTGTTAGACTTTCTTGTAAGGGAAGTGGTTGACAAGGCTTTTGTATGTGACAAACACCATATGTATAAGCACCATATCATTCAGAACTCTAAGTCCTGAAAGTTAGGTGACGTTTCTGCCGTTTTACAGGTGAGGCATCAGGGGCTTGGGAGGTTACACTCTGTAAGTAGAAGAGTAAGGATCTGAACGTGGGTTCATTTCTTCTGAAATCTGTACTCTTCTCACTTGTTACCATTTGCTCTTCAGGTAAGCTATTATTTGTGATGAAATTATTCAATTTTACTACACTGATCTTATACTCCTATTGAGAATAGTATCTTACCAGGAATATAAAGAAATTTTGTCCACTACATAAAGCATCAAAAGGCTTAATTTCCATAGCTAATGTTTATTAAATAAAGTTCCATCTGCCTAGCTTCACAGTTAGATATTGCAGTTCTTCCAGGATCCCATTCACAGAACCAAGAAATGACACTTTAGGTTCAGGTTTTTCCTCAAAAAAATTACCAGAAATACATAAAATACATGGATAGAATTAATTCATGCACTTTTATATTTGGCACATTATTGGCAAGACAGAATTTCAATTTTCATTAAAGTAGCACTAAAAATAAATGCTTTATTCATTTTCCAAAATTCTACCTTTAACTGTTAAAGAGTTCTTTCACAACAGAGTTTCTATGCTAATCTTATATCCAACTGATTTTATGCAGTAGCTTTTATTGACAATCCCTTCCACATCAGCGTAAGTGCCCTTACATGTCCAAAGGTGTAGTTAGATGGATTTACAAATTTGCTTCTTCTAATCTACTGCTCTTTCTCCCTTACTGGCTTGAACATTCCTTGAGGACAAGGAAAAATGCACTGGAAGGCTATCAGTGTCTTCCACATTCACCCAGGAAGCAACATCTTTTAGCAATGTCAACATTTAAATATTTTTTGATTTCTTTTCTAATTAGTGTTGCCCAGTCAGTTTCAGGAAGAAGAAACCAACAGAAGACATAATCTTATCAAAGATTCATAGACTCCTGATGAGGTCATACTCAGGTGGGGAGTAGAAATAGGAAATATCCTAGTAGTAGAAGAGCTTAAAATTGAAGAGGGAGAAAATGGCAAAAAAAAATTTCCTTGAATGTCCCTTTCTGCTTTCTTTTATGGAAAAAAAAGTCTGCCAAGCAAATGAGATGTGCTGTCTAGAAGTAAATATGACATTGATAGGGGAGAAGGAAGGTCCAGGCTGCAACCCTTCCAAGTTAAGAAGGGGGAGCTCCAGAAGAGACAACTTATCCCGGAGACAGAAGGCGAGGCAAAGGTCTCAGAGGGTGACACTCACACTGCAAAAGTGCAGAGGGTCTGGGTCTGCCCTTCTTAGGAAATTCCCTCTCTAATGCAGGCAAAGACCCAACTTCTTAAGACCTGGAGTAAGTTCCCACCACTCACAAATCCCTTCTCTCATGGCAGCTTATCTGATCCTTCTTCCCCTTCCTTAAATTAGACCTTTTCTTTAACTTTCACTATCTATTTTTCTAACTTTTCAAACCTCACATACCTATTCCTAGAAATATAAGGAATTCTGGAACACTCATTTCATCATGCAAACATGAACTTTGGAATTTTACACCCATGTAAATAATACATGTTTTATTTAAGGTGTTAATTTTAAAGCTACAAGAAAAAAAGCAAAAGCCAGGAAAATAAAGAAACTCATTCTAAAACACAGTAATTAATGAGGCTGGTTCAGTGGTAAGCTCTTCTCAGGAGCTAAGAAGTGTTTCAAGACACAGAGGCCACAGCCACGCATGAGAAACTCTGGTGTGGAAAAGGATTATTTGTAAGTAGAAAATATCAAGAGTTCCATTTTGCTAAGCAAATCAGAGATTTAAAATAAAGTCAATCTATCTCAAAGATTTTTAAATGAATTCTCTCAATTACATTCAATCATCTTCATATACTCATCAAAGGATCAACAAAAGCCGCAACCAATTAAATAGGCTGCACCCTTATTTGCCTCATGATCTACCTGTCTAAATGCCATATTTTACTTCCATTTGTTCCCCATTCACAGCAAGCACAGCTAAGGTAGTAAAGTACAGACATTTTTCTCTTTACCTTTGCTGCTTTCCGGTAGTGAAGTGGACAGTTTAGCAGGTTAGACTACAGCTCTGTCTCTGAAAAGGAAATATAAGCCTTCACTTTTTGCCCCTCCCTTTCCATGCGTCCTGAGTGATTCAGCTCTCCACCTGCCAGACGGAAAGTACAGCCCTGAGAAGGAAGTCCACAGGAAGGCTCACAAACTCCTGAGACTCTCAGGATGGCACCAGCTCTAACTCTCCTCCTGCCCTTTAGTGCTAGCCTCTATTCAAGACAAACAAGCTGTCTCTCTAGTGAGAACAGCATCAACACGCCAAGGAGGCAGTGGCATATTCAAAATCCCCAAGATTGCCAGTGGTGGAGTATATGACACAAAGCTACTCAACAGAAAAAATTCCTGTTGTGACAGATGCTTCCTGGACTGAGGCACACACATGCTGAGTTTCTGTGCTCTCTTAAAAGGAGTGTGTTTTTAAGTACAGCTTCAGCAATTGGCTGGCAGGTAAATCCTGTCCCATAAACAGAGCACAAGTGTGTACTCAAGCATGAATTAATCTGCGGTTTCAGTTTAAAAGCTTGGTAGGAGCAACAAGCTACCCTCACCTAATGTGAGTTCAGAGTCTGAGGCATGATCCAGAAATGTAGAAGAAAAATTGTAGATTAGAAGTTAGGAATGAGAGCTGCAGATAGAAAATATTAAGGGTATGCAGTAGACAGAATGAACACTGTAAGATAAGCCTAACTTCCCAAGGCCAATCTGCAATACACAACCCAACCTCACAAGGGTAGTACTACTGCCAATCTTAAACTCCAATGATAGTCTGTACTGCGTTTGTGATATGAGACATTTTAACATGGCCAATGATTTCCTCTCCATTTTCAGGAAGTAATATGCCTTCACTTAGCCAAAATTTAACTATTCTATAAGACAGGAGAACCAGAAAATCTGGATCTAAAATTGTGTCCCACAAGGCTCTCATAAAAATAATTGTGCACCCAACAACATGGAACTAAAAGGGACCTCAAAGCAGTCCAGTCTGTTTTCTGTTCAGGCAAGTGTTTCTCGACATATCCAACTCAAGCTGGGGGCTTCCATGGCTTGAAAGGTTCCTATCCACTGGTAGATTTGATCCTCTACTTTTTGAATTTGTTTTCATGTATCTTGAGATCTCATCTCTTGAGATCTCATCAGAAAGGGATTGGACTCAGCTTTCTTGATGTCTAATAATTAGAATCATCAGAGAAGGCCTTCCTATGCACTTGATTTAGGTTGCATCCCTGTTATTTTCCTTATTAAAAAGGAAGTAATTATTTCTAGCTCTTCCTTCAAATTGGAAGGCATTCATTAGCATAACACTCTTTCACCTCTTTCATCCTTTCATTCACTCCTCCTCCTCTGGTATCTTCAGTTGGATTCCCTGAGAGCAGAACTATAGGTAAAGTCTCATGTGTATATGATTTATTTAGGAAGTTATATCAGAGAACAGAAGTAGGAGAGAAAGAAGAATGGAACATGGCAGGAGTGAAGGGTGAAAAAGACTGCTCTCAAGTTGACCTCTAGTGCCTGATGCCTTGGAACTTCAGGGGAACCTTACAAACTGCATCTCAGATCTGTCCACTTACAGTAAAAATGAGGGAAAGCATCTATCTACGGCTCTTCAACCCTGGTGGCCTATGAGAGCCCTATAGGTGTCAACATGGGTTGCACTGTGTGTGTCTAGCATGCACATCCCACACCAAGCATCAGAAAATCCCAGTGCACAAAGCATAATATGAGGTGCAGTGATGTGAGGTTGCAACACATGAAGTTATTTAAAGCCTATAAAGAACTAGTACTCTCAATAGCAGCAGGATTAAGAAGCACAGTGATTACAATGATAGGGTTGAAGCAACCCACAAGAAGTGGTTAATACACTGAACTCATGGTATGATCTATCAGTGGGTTTCAGAAAAAGATGTTTTCCAGTTTTCTTTTGTGGAAGTCACATGTCCAAAGGAAATGCACTTACTTGCTCATCTGTCCCTCCTACCCTATGCATTCCCAGGGTAAGACCATGTTGAGATTCCAGTTATCCCTAGGACCAAGTTGCTATCTGTATAGTTCTGAGGACCAGATTCAAAAAGCTCCTGCCTAATAGCCATCCTTCAACCTATCTTTACCTGGAATATATATTTTGTGTACCTCCATCTAAATTCTTTTACTTTATCTGTTTTTTTGCAGAACACAGGGTAGGTGAAAAAGATTACTTATTAGGGTCCTCATCATTTAGGACAGTGAGCATGCCTGGAGAGCAGAGTGGATTCCGAAATTCTATCCCAACATCCCTCTTCTCTCAGGAAGCACATTCCCTGTACCACCTGTAAGAGTTGGTCCTCCTCAAAAGTTAAAGAAAGAAAATTTTAAGAAAGAACATGGAGGAATCAAGGGGCATAAGTGATATTAGTAGAATCACTTTAGTGATGTGCTATAATGGTAATGTGCTGTAGAACATGTGAAATAAGAACATAACCTTCTGAAAGTTTAGCAGAAAGATTGAGTTGTGACATAAGACTATGCTAGAATAGGCGGAGCTGAATTTCTTTAAGTGCAAATTACCCTATCCTGGCAGAGAAAAACCATGGATGGATTGTACTCCCAACCTCAATCACTCCTCTGCCCTCCCATAGGAAAGCAGTCCCTAGAGATGTTGATTCAAGACTCCTTCTTTGGTTTCAATAGAAATGACAGGAACAGGGTGGGTGTCGGCACAAAAGGAAGAAGTAAAAAATGTTTTCTGGAATTGGGAAATTCCAGTGGGATTAAAAAACATAATTGGACAAACAGCAACCTCTATAGATGATGTTAGCTGTTCTTGGGAGATGAAGAAGACATTGGGAGCACCTGTATGTGTAGGAAGGGTGGAGAAGGATGATTTGGGGGAGTTATATTTGCATTATAAATGCCACTTTGTAGAATTGTCAAATTTAACAAATAAAAACACGGGTTAAATAAAAATTAAAACCAGTATATATGTCTGAGATACACTTATTCTATAAAGGTATCCACAGTTTATCTGAAATTAAAATTTAACTGTTGATTCTGAATTTTTTCTGGCAAATGTTCACCTTCTTGGCAATTTTCTTGAGAGATATAGTAAACATTTGTATTTATATTTGCTGACATTTATTTGAGCTAGCCACAGTATAAAGAAAGATCCTTAGGCAGTTCAGTGTTAAGCTGGGTAGAAAATCTGTGTACGCTGAGAAAGCAACAAATGAACCACAGGAGCCACTGTTATAGGAAATAAAGGGGACATTTCATGGGAAAAGCCACTCGACGATATGTAAGGGGTCAAGACACAGCAAGCAGAAGAATCAACTGGACACAGAGTGAGAGAACCTTTCCCAAACCCAAAAGTAGAGATGGGTGGCCACATATGTAAATTAATTTACATATATGAGAGGATCATGTTTTTTGTTAAATACCTGACATTTAGTTATCACTCAAAAACTATCTGCTAAGCTAAACCAATCACCCTCTTATTGATGGAAGTAGGGGTTGTAGGAAGATGCATTTCAGCTTGGGATGAGGCAAGAAACAAAAGTATAGAGTAACAATCTGGAAAGTTGAAGAAAGGACTGACCAAAAACACAAAAGGGGTGGGTGCTGTTCTGTAATGAGTTAAGCAGCCTCTTGGGATGCCTGCATCCCATGTCAGGATGCTTGGGATGGAGTACTGACTCTGCTTCCAGTCCAGTGTCCTGCTAACAAACACCATAGGAGGCAACAAGTGATGGCTCATGTACCTGAGTCACTGCCACACATTTGTGAGACCTGGAAGGAGTCCCTGACTCCCAGCTTCAGCTTGATCCAGCCCTGGCTGTTGCAGCTTTGGGAATAAGCCAACAAACAGAAAATCTCTCTTGTTTCTCTCTCTCTCTCTCTCTCTCTCTCTCTCTCTCTCTCCCCTTTAAAATAAATAACTAAATAACTTTTTAAAGAAAAGGAAATACAGAAAGCTCCCTCGCTGACAGCAAGCATAGGCTGGAATCACACACTATTAGTAACATAAAGTAAGAATGATATGCCAGCAAGCACATTTTGTTGTTTCTTGAAAAATTCTCCTTTCTCAGGCTTCCCTCTTTCAATGTGATCCCCACAACCAACCCCTATTTGTGGAAAAGTTTCACGGTTTACTAACAGAACAGTATCAAAGAGACAAGGCTTTTTCAATGGAACACTGCAGCTTTTACTTTCCCATACATAAATCAATTCTATCAATTGTTCCATCATGTAAAAATCAAAAGTTTCTGCAACAATACCTAGAGCACTTTCCATTTGGTCAATCCATCGCTTGACAAAGTTCTAGATAGGCAAAAAAAAAAAGTGTGAGAGGCACAGACCAAAGGAAAATAATCAACAATTAAACTGTTTGATTTTCCAGGAGGAATAGAGAGAGCCTTTGAGCTACAATGAATAGCTCTAAGTATCAGCAGGGTGGATGCCTCAAGTCTTGCAGAGACCTCATTACTTTAGAATACACTCTTGGAAAATTTTTCTCAGGTAAGTCAAGAGGGATCTACTACTTAAAACATACACTGAGAAAGAACTGGCCTTTTAAAAATATCCTATAAAACTCATTAATAGACATTATAAAGAAATGAAATAAGCCATAAGCTAGGAGAAAATATTCACAATGCAGACTATTAAAAATATATGTGTGCAGAACACACAAATAACTATAGCTCAAAAAGTTAAAGAGAAATAGTGGATAAAATATTTGTACAAGCACTTCCCTGAAGATTATGAACAGCCAAAAGCACATAACAACATGTTCAACATCATCAGTCATCAGACAAGTGTGAATTAAAAACACAGAGACATGCCACATCACACCCATTTGGGTGAGTAAATAAGAAGGATTGATAAGAAGAATTGATCAAATGTTGACCAGGATATAGTACAACAGGAACTCTCCTACATTACCCACCTACCTTGGAAAACTGTTAGATTCTTTAAAAGTTAAATATTTCTTTATTCCATAATCTGGCAATTCCTCTAAAGAATTCTCCCAAAGCAAATAAAATATCTACAATAAGCCTTCCTTATAGAAGAATGTTGATACTAGCTTTAAAAGCAGAAACAAAACACTGTCTATCAAAAAGAGAAAATCATTTAAAAAAAAAACTGTTGTATTCATCCAATGAAACACTACTAAGCATCGAAAATGCAGAAACCACAGACTCACATGCAACACAGATGACTCTCAAAAGCATTATGTTGAGATAGAGGAAGCCAGACACAAAAAGTCCAAATTTCTAGCAAAATTAATATATGATAACAAAGATCAGATCAGTTGGTGTTATCTT